GGCAAGTTTTGGGTGTGAAATTTCTTCATGAAGTTCGCTAGCTTTCATGCCTGCAGCAGGAGTATTGACGTGCATTTTTAATCACAACACACTGACCAGCCTCTGAAAAGCTTTTAAATCAGACACAGTTTGATCTGTTACATAACATTTAACATTTAAGTCATTAGGGAGTCAGCTCAGTGACTCCTTTATGAAATCCTTTACTAAAGCGCACACCCCACACTCTTACACTATCCATCACTGTCACACCTCTCTGTGGATTTCACCTCACCCTCCTTTTCTCTTTCTGAATCCAGGAAGGAGCGTCCCATCTCCATGGGGGTATTCCCATTACCCGGAAGTGATTTGACCACTGACCCGCAGAGGGAAACTGTTGAAACGCTGTCTGAACCCTGGAGATATAACGACCTGAGCCACCCTCGCTCCAACACCAGCCTCAAGGTACCATTAAACTCCCCACCTGCCAGTCACTTTAAACCGATGCAAAAGCTATTCTAACATTCGGCGACTGTTTTGGAAATACTTTTCAGGAATTCACTGTGTGAGTACAAAGTGAACTCGGTGGGTTGAATCAGGACTAGCATTCTGAGTTGAACAACCGTACCCTCAGATCTAACCACCCCCCCCCCCCCCCCATGCCTCCTCTTAGCGTTTCCAAGGAATCTGAGGGGTGACGTAAGACAGGGGTAATTTGGCCCAGAGTAGATAGTGTGTGTCTGTGTGGAAACATACCAACCGTTCACTCTGCCAGAGGATGGGAAGGCTTATTGAAAAGGAAGTTGGATTCAGTGTGTCTGCGGTACCAAAGCACGATTGAGAGGTAGACTTGGATCAGTGTGCCCGGAATGCCTAAGAAGGCATTGAGGGAGGGCAGAGGGGCTGTGTGTGTGTCTGAGGGCCCATGGAAGTTGTACCATTCGGGGCCGGGAGCAGGGGAAGAGGGAAACAGAGGAGAGAACCAAGAAACAGGACAGAGTGTCTGAGCAGACCAAAGGGCCGCTTTCTGCTGGGGCCACACTAGAACCTCACCATGGTTGCCCGTAGAAACCACGCCGCGAGCAAGGTTCCGTCATGAATATTAATTCATGCTCGGCTGATTTTAAGTATTCATTTGTTGTGATATTTTAGTCCTCGGTGGCCAGATAGAAATGATTCAGATACCAGGAAGAGGGGGTTTCCTGTCAGAAGTGACAAGACATTTGACATAAGATATGAGACCAGTAGATGAAACTCAACTGCCGATGTTTCAGCTCAGCCCTGGCTGCTACTAAATCATCTTTCTACTTAATCCTCCTCTATCCTCCTCTCTATCAAACCTTTGGTTTCTCTATGAAAGCATCTCTTTTCTTTCTCTATCCCTGATCCCACTAAACCATCCCTTTCTCACTTTCACTGTGGATCTCTCACGCTGACTTTTTAACACACACACAGCCACACACACACACACACACACACACACACACAGCCACACACAGCCACAGTTCAGACTCACAGGGATGCCTTTGTGTTACAGCCTCTGACTCGACATTTCCCAAAGATTTACAGTGTTCGGTTACAGTCCCCCCTCCCACTTTCTCTCTCTCACTCTTTCTCTCTCTCACGCTCACCGATTATATCTCTCTCTCTCAGGTTTGTATACACGCACACAAACACACAAACACTGTGTGTCAGCAGAGCTTAGGGTTTTTTGACATGGAAGGCGTCAGCTTTATCAGTCTGATGGACAGAAGAGAAGCTAGGCTCTGATAGGCTGACAGTGGTATTATGGGAACAGCCGAGAGGATGATGCCAGCGAGGGAAAGTGGGGGAATAGTCCCAAGGGTAGAAGAAGAAGTACAAGGGAAAAAAGAGGCTGGGAGAGTGAAGGAGAGCACATAAGAGACTCGGGTGTAATGGATGTCTTTCAGTGTTTTGTCAATGGTCTTTTCCGAGGTTATTCTAAAAAGCCATATAAAGTATCTAATGCAAACAATTGAATGATTGACTGCAGTAGAAAGCCTAGGTAGACGACCTCTGGAAGTGGCTACTCATCAGAACGTGTAATCCATACCTTTGTCACCTTCAACCCGACACGTCTGACTCTGCCGGCCCTTTCACTTGATCCACTGTCTTTTATACTTAATTACTGATTTGCAATAATCTTTTTTCAACATAAATCTGCTGTTCTATTCCCCCCCCAGTTGTGATCACTGCTCTAAAACGGGCCTTCGCTGTAATTTGTCTCTAAACCAGCTGGGGGCGCCAGACTCCCAGAGCAGAGGGCAGAGGCTTTCAGCTAATCAGCAGGCTGAACAGAACCAGGTCCAAACTATCGTGTTGCTGTGTTGTTGACTATGTCGTCTCATAAAAGCTTAATATAGCCTTTGTGCCACCATAGAACATAGTACACTGCCAGCTGCATGCAACCCAAGCAGGTTACTCACCTGGACACCAATGGTGTGACTGGGGCTAAATCTAAAATGATACATTTACATTTTAGTCATTTAGCAGACGCTCTTATCCAGAGCGACTTACAGTGATACCTATTTCCTATGTAGTGCATTACTTTCGGCCCTATGGGGCTCTGACCAAAAGTAGTGCACTATATAGGGAGTAGGGTGTCATTTCAGATGCATCCCAGTCTTTCAGGGTTAGTCGGCTTGCTAGTATTACTAATGCATAGAGCGTTCCCTCTACTTCAACCCAATCAACTAGACTTAGCTAGCTAGCTTAGAATCGACAAAAACGTTGTTTTCTAACTGTGCTCTAACAACTTTGATGTGAATTGAGGTGTTTTTTCCGGTTGGTTTTCACTTTGCCTTTTGTTTCAGTGGAAGATGTTGTATTTACTGCGTTTTGTGTGTACTTTGTTTTGTTGGTTTGTTTAATGCACTTTATACCATTGCCTTTTGAATGTTTGAGTGTTCAGTGATGATTTTGACTGGGTATTAATGGTTGTGTTGGATTGGCTAACCATTTTTCAAACCTGCTTATTCCTGTTTGAGGGAAAGAAGCTAAGACTATTAGGATATAGCCATTGTGTCCTTGACCATCTGTCAGTATTTCATTTATTTTCCTCCTTCCCTCTTTCCTTTCCTTTTATTTCTCCTCTTCCTCCTCCTCTTCTTTCTCTTCTGTAGGATGAGATGTCTAATGCTAACCGTGGAGGCTCCAAGTCCAACACCCCCATGTCTCCTAAAGGGGGCTCCAAGTCAGGGACCCCCATGTCTCCTAAAGGGGGCTCCAAGTCAGGGACCCCCATGTCTAGCCATGGTGGAGGCTCCAAGTCAGGGACCCCATTTGGAGCTCCCGCTCAAGGAGGAGGTTCCAAAATGTCCTCACAACAAGGTGGTTCTAAATCAGGCACCCCCATCTCTTCTCAAGGAGGGTCCAAATCGGGTACCCCTATGTCATCTCAAGGAGGGGACTCAAAGTCGGTTACCCCAATGTCCACGCAAAACAGCGACTCTAGTTTGGTCACTCCACTATCTTCTCAAGGAGGAGGGTCTATGTCGGCCACTCCCATGTCTACTTCCGAGTCTGACATTGCCATGGCGTCGGTGAGCACGCCACTCCAGGAAGAGTTAAAGGAAGTGGGCAAGGGTCTGAACAGGAACCTGGACAGAAGCAACAGGAAGCCAGAGAACATCAGCAGTAAGAACACCACAGTACAGGAGGGTCAGGAAGGACAGGACTCAGAGCTGAGAGGAGGGGCAGGACCTCTCACAGGCACAGGTCAGTACTGCAGCTACCGGGCATAAACTGGGATAACATGGGGATTGGCTATGTTGGGGACTTGGATTTGTTATATTATAAAGACCTACCAAAATGTGTTTGGCATCACATTGGCTGCACCACTGTATTCACTGTGTCAAACGTGCCATATGTCCCACAAGGATAGTAATCTAACATGTTATTCTCTCTCCTCTTCACACGCAGCAGATGATAACGCTGAGTCATTGGAGGTGCAGGCCATCATAGAGTCCACTCCTGAACTGGACATGGACCTTAGCGGCTACAGAGACGCCAGGTAGGGTCAACAGGAAGTAATGTTTCTATCTCGATCTTTGCATCTCTATCCTGAACACTCAATCATCATCTATGTGTCAAACTATACAGAAAATTCCTTCCAGCTTGGTCCTTTGAGCCAGCTATATAAAACATATCTACACAAACGTTATTTTATGATGGAATGTATTGTAGCTGTGGTCACTCTGATGACCTCTCTCCCTCTCTCCCTCCCTCCCCCTTCCATCCCCCTCCTCCCCATCCCTCTCTCCCTCCTCGTATCCCTCTCCGTATCCCTCTCCAGTACTCCTACTAAAGGAGTAGGTATAGAAAACATGGCGTTCAACAGGAACACTGAGTCTCTGTTTGCAGAGCTGTCCTCGGCAGGACCTGACATGGAAATAGACATAGCAGACATGGACGAGGGGGCCGACCTGCTGGGTAAGACACGCCCACCTTAGACACTATTCCAAGAATCATCTCATACCCACGCCTTGGGTAAATCTGGAGAACTCTGCCTCAATCCCAAATGATTGGCAAAGACTGAAACCTGTGTGTACATGCCATATACTAGGATGGACTCTCCTTTCTACAGAAATAGTTAGCCATTTCTCCCCATCACATTAACTTTCTTTATCTCCATAGTACTGGATAAGTCATCTCATTATGTCATTATTTTCTTGGTTCCTCTCTTCAGACGAGTTTTCTGGTGTGTATTCACCATTCCATTCATTCTCCTTGCACTTCTCCCTTATCACTCACCACCCTCTCTCTAGTTCTCCCCTTTTAGCTCCCAAACTATGTCTAAAATATACAGTGGGATCTCCGTGTTGGTGAGGTCGTAGGTTAGGTGTTCTTTAGGCTGTTTATAGACCAGTCGGAGTCCCCGTAGAGTCGTGTGCTGTTAGGTGATTGTCAAGATAATCTGTTTTGTTTTCCACCTCACATTGCCAGCATGGGTGTCAGACACAGACCTTAACTTCCTGGGTAAGACTGAAGGAGGGTGTGTATCATGTGTTTTATATCATTCCATTTTAGAAAGGAGGAATTTCAATTTCTTCCCTTTTTTCCCTTTTCATCCCTCCTTTTCCTCTCTCTCCTCTTAAGGTATGGGTCGTGAAGTGGAGCATCTCATCCACGAGAACACTCAGCTGCTGGAGACCAAGTAAGTTGTGTTTTCAAATCACCTGCATCCATGCTCAAGAAATCAACTTAACATGAATTAATCGAGCAAGAATGTTCCATGTTGTGCAATAGACAGCACACTACTGCCACCTGTTGTTCACGGAGGGATTTAGCTTTCATCAAAGAGAGAGTTCACCCAGGTCCCAGAGAAAGTGTGTGTGTGTAGGGCCTAATGATCATGCCATCTAATATTTATCTTCCGTCTCGTCAGAAATGCATTGAACGTGGTGAAGAATGACCTGATAGCGCGTGTGGATGAGCTGTCGTGTGAGAAGGAGGTGTTGCAGGGAGAGCTGGAGGCTGTGACTCAGGCCAAGACCAGACTGGAGGAGAAGAACAAGGAACTGGAGGACGAACTCAAGAAGTCAGTCTCTACTCTACCCTACCGCTCTGTCTGTTTTCTTTCCCTCTTTAGATGAATATAGGATCCCCAGGCATCTCCTGTGTGTGTGTGTGTGTCCTGTGTGTGTTCATCTCCAGTGTGTGTGTCCTGTGTGTGTTCATCTCCAGTGTGTGTGTCCTGTGTGTGTTCATCTCCAGTGTGTGTTTCTCTCTTAGGGTTCGGGCCGAGGCAGAAGAGGCCAAAACGAAGACCAAGACTGAGAACAATGAGGAAGATGTGAGTTCTGTGCATGTGTGTGTATGTGTTTGCTGAGATATATATATGTGTGTGTGTGTGTGTGTGTGTGTAATGAGGTTGCTGATACCACTCCTGGCAGGCGGATGTTCCCACAGCCCAGAGGAAGAGGTTCACCAGAGTAGAGATGGCCAGAGTCCTCATGGAGAGGAACCAGTACAAGGAGAGACTGATGGAGCTACAAGAAGCTGTACGATGGACAGAGATGATACGGTAGGGAGAGGGGGGAGAGGAATCTTGTGATTAAAGCTGAGCTAGTCCAAAACAAAATGATACATATTGAAGTGTTTTTGTATTTTGTATTCCACTCACACAATGTTCTTATTGATAAACATGCACCCCTTCTAGTTAGTCTTTTGTGTTTTCTCTCCTGGGCGATTCTAGCTAGTTGAGTAACAAGATCGTTTTTGTCTCAGCTGAATAGGGATCAGTCATTAAATGTGTTATCTTCCCCTCAGAGCATCAAGAGAGAATCCAGCCGCCGCAGACAAGAAGAAATCCAGCATCTGGCAGTTGTAAGCTTGCCTCCTCCTTTTTCTACCACCACTCCTTTTCTTCACTCCTTCAATACAATCCTTCCCCATTACTGCACATCTCTCCTTTTCTCGTTACACTCTACATCTAGGAGCTGGCATACCATACTTGTAGCTAATGCCACTGTAAGATTGTTGATGATTATTTAATATGATTTCCCCTTTTGTTTTTGTTTTTGTCTTTTTTATTTAATTTTTTCACATTTTGATCTCCAGTGTGTAGGTAAACCTTTGGCAGGCTAATGGGTCTTCTTGATTCAGGTTCTTAACAAACAAATCAACAAACCAGGGAGTGCCTGCCTGATCAGGGAATGGCTTTTTAGTTGAAGTGTCATTTTGTTTTCATTGTAAGTCGGAGTGAGTTCAAATTGAGTGAAATCTCCCAAGGGAAACCAACACTTTTCCTCTGCTTTAAAACGTTAAAAAAACTATTCACCTACAAATGAAAGACAGAAGTGTGTGTGTGTGTGTTTGTGTGAGCGCATGTATCAGTGTGCTTCAGCCTAGTACACGTATTAAAAATATTTTACTGAAATGTATTAGAAATGGCCAATTCCTGATCTAGGCTCTCCCTGGAATGGTTATGGTGTGTGGTTGGTTTATGAATGACATGTTTTGTTGGACAGTGGTGTAATGCATCTGACTAATGATTCATTTTTATTTTGGGCAGGGGGTAAAGCCTTTATCTGTTGGAGAGGGGGGTGTAACTAATTAGTGTTGGAGAGGGGTTGTGTGTGTTAAATGCATGTTTATTTATGATGAAATCCCCTGTCTCTCCTGTTGCCCTCTGCTCCTTTGGTCCCTCTCTCTGTTGTATCCTTCCTGATGTTGTTGTTGTCATGTCTGTATGCAGGAGGTGTGTTGGGATGGGTGATGGGGGGAGAAAGAGGGTATATGTAGTGGAATGGATAGTTGTATTCTAGAGTCAGATACTGTAAACAGTATGTAATCTCTGGTTGGACATATTTCTAAACTGATACACTGAGTTTAGGCTTGAGGCTACTTTCTGCTATATGGAGAGGGTAATACAGTCCATCCATATGTTTTGACCTGATGGACTGTAGCTATTTGATCTTCAACCAAAATAATCCTGATTTATTTATGGACCTAGTCTTTTCATCTCACTCTGTTACATTAACAGGCATCGTCTCTAGAGCTGGAATAAGCAGCAATAGTTTGTAACTGTGTTGTGTTCTGTGTTGACTTACTAACTGCCTGGTTCGTGTTACAGTATTAACCAATGCATTCCCTGCTCTCCCATCCCCTGTAAAATTACTGAGTGGAGACTCGCTTGCTGTTAAACCCTGCTTTTGGTCGGTGTAGTCTGGTCTAACCAATGTGATTGAGAAAGGTCTCTTTGCATTATGGCACTGGAACAACAAACATTGTTCTGACCTTTTTGACAGTTTGCCAAGCTCTGTATGGCTCTGGTTTTGGCTGTGATTTGGGAACTCAAATGGGTACTGAAGGCTGAAGGTGTGATTTTTTTTGGGTGGGGGGTGGGGGGGGGGTGTAGTAGTAATCAACTGTTGATTTGATTATTTATCCCTTAAACCCTGCCGCTGCTGCTTTGTCTACCCTCCATATGTGTCTCTGTGCTCTTTCTTTCCACCTCCTCCTTCGTTATCCCTCCCTCCCTCCCTCCCTCCCTCCCTCCGTCCTCCAGTTTCAGTCGGTTGTTCAGTTCGAGTGGCGGAGCGGCTAAGAAGCCTGCGGAGGCTGCGCCAGTGAATGTGAAGTACAACGCCCCCTCCTGCCAGGTCCAGCCCTCTGTGAAGAAGAGGAGCGCAGCTCTGCAACAGCTACCCAGCGACAAGAGCAAGGCCTTCGACTTCCTCAATGAGGAGTGAGTGTTGGAGACGTATACCCATCTGTCCATTCACTCATGATCCACCCATTTATTCATGCAGTCTTTCACGCATCAAGGTTTCAATCATCCTTCGGCCCCGCCTCCATGCCACCATCCATTCTTCAGTTCATTTACCCATCTACACTGGATAATATGTTCAGAATAGATTAGATGTTTTTGATGCTATTTTCTCCCCTCCCCCCTCCTCCCCCAATCCAGGTCTGAGGCAGGCAACATGGTGTCTCGTAGGGAGCAGAAGAGAGCCCAGTACAGACAGGTGAAAGCCCACGTTCAGAAGGAGGAGGACGGCAGGGTACAGGCCTACGGGTGGAGCCTGCCGCAGAAATTCAAGGTAGGACAAGTGTCTTTGTGCATTACTTTATATTACAGACTTTTTCTAGATATTTTAGAAAAATATGTTAGGTTAGGTTCAGTGACTCCAGGTACGCTGACCACACTGTGTTATATTACAGGTGGCCAACGGTGGTCAGACGTTAGAGAACAAGATGAAGAATCTACCTGTACCCGTCTACCTCCGACCGCTGGACGAGAAAGATGCTACCATGAAGGTGTGTGTGCATGTGTATACCTTTCCTAACCTTGTATTTCTCTCCATATATGTGCCGTATTGCTAACTGTGTGTCTCTGCCTCCCGTAGTTGTGGTGTGCTGCGGGTGTGAACCTGTCGGGGGGTAAGACTCGTGACGGCGGGTCTATAGTAGGAGCCAGTGTGTTCTACAGTGACCTGACCAGTCCTGGTCCTGAGAGCCCTCTCAGGAAGATAGGATCACAGAGCAGTCTGGACAAACTGGACCAGGACCTAAAGGTACATATACACGCCACACACAGTCACATGGTCATACAGCACACACACATGCATGCGCTCATACAATACAGACAGACAGGCTCATAAGACACACACACATGCGTGTACTTACAGTAAAGACACACACTTGTACACCTTTTTCCGGTGTGTGTGTGTGTGTTTGTGTGTGTAGGAGCAGGAGAAGGAGCTGCGCCACCAGGAGGAGCTGTCCTCTCTGGTGTGGATCTGTACCAGTACTCAGGCCACCACTAAGGTCATCGTCATCGATGCCAACCAGCCTGGGAACGTCCTGGAGAACTTCTTTGTCTGCAACTCTCATGTCCTCTGCATCGCCAGTGTGCCAGGTCTGTGTGTGTTCGTTTGTGTGTGTGGGTCAAGTGTGTGTGCGTTTGATATGAACTCAAGACACAGCAAAATATGTTTATTTGTTTTGATTGTAGCTAACCATAACATGTTTATTTATACACGTTTATATATGGTGTGTGTGTGTGTGTGTGTGTGTGTGTGTGTGTGTGCGCGGTCGTGGGTGTGTGTGTCAGGTGCCAGAGAGACAGACTACCCGGCAGGGGAGGAGGTGCCCCATGACGCGGGGTCGGCTGCTGAGGGTGGGACTCTGGAAGCCAGCACAACCAGTAGTTGCTCAAGGGGTGAAGCTGGAGTGCTGGCAGGGATCAATGTAGTTGGCTGCTCTACAGAGGGGGCAGTGGCTACCCCCCAGACAGCAGGAGCAGAGAATGACACCGACACAGGTAAGATTAGTACACGCACGCACGCAGGCGCACACACATACAGTTGAAGTCGGAAGTTTACATATACTTAGGTTGGAGTCATTAAAACTCGTTTTTCAACCACTCCACACATTTCTTGTTAACAAACTACAGTTTTGGCAAGTCGGTTAGGACATCTACTTTGTGCAAGACACAAGTTATTTTTTGACAACAATTGTTTACAGACAGATTATTTCACTTATAATTCACTGTATCACAATTCCAGTGGGTCAGAAGTTTACATACAGTAAGTTGACTGTGCCTTTAAACAGCTTGGAAAATTCCAGAAAATGATGTCATGGCTTTAGAAGCTTCTGATAGGCTTTTCAGTCAATTGGAGGTGTACCTGTGGATGTATTTCAAGGCCAACCTTCAAACTCAGTGCCTCTTTGCTTGACATCATAGGAAAATCAAAAGAAATCAGCCAAGACCTCAGAAAAAAAATTGTAGACCTCCACAAGTCTGGTTCATCCTTGGGAGCAATTTCCAAACGCCTGAAGGTACCACGTTTATCTATACAAACAATAGTACGCAAGTATAAACACCAATGGACCACGCAGCCGTCATACCGCTCAGGAAGGAGACGCGTTCTGTCTCCTAGAGATTAATGTACTTTAGTGCGAAAAGGTCAAATCAATCCCAGAACAACAGCAAAGGACCTTGTGAAGACGCTATATCCACAGTAAAACGAGTCCTATATCGACATAACCTGAAAGGCCGCTCAGCAAGGAAGAAGCCACTGCTCCAAAACCGCCATAAAAAAGCCAGACTACGGTTTGCAACTGCACATGGGACAAATATCGTACTTTTTGGAGAAATGTCCTCTGGTCTGATGAAACAAAAATAGAACTGTTTGGCCATAATGACCATCGTTATGTTTGGAGGAAAAAGGGGCTGGCTTGCAAGCCGAAGAACACCATCCCAACCGTGAAGCACGGGGGTGGCAGCATCATGCTGTGGGGGTGCTTTGCTGCAGGAGGGACTGGTGCACTTCACAAAATAGATGGCATCATGAGGAAGGAAAATTATGTGGATATATTGAAGCAACATCCCAAGACATCAGTCAGGAAGTTAAAGCTTGGTCGCAAATGGGTCTTCCAAATGGACAATGACCCCAAGCATACTTCCAAAGTTGTGGCAAAATGGCTTAAGGATAACAAAGTCAAGGTATTGGAGTGGCCATCACAAAGCCCTGACCTCAAGTGTTTAAACCCTTTACAATGAAGATCTGTGAAGTTATTTGGATTTTTACGAATTATCTTTGAAAGACAGGGTCCTGAAAAAGGGACGTTTCTTTTTTTGCTGAGTTTATATACACTACCGTTCAAAAGTTCGGGGTCACTTAGAAATGTCCTTGTTTTTATTGGTCAGTCTGAGATATGGCTTTTTCTTTGCAACTCTGCCTAGGTCAGCATCCCGGAGTCGCCTCTTCACTGTTGACGTTGAGACTGGTGTTTTGCGGGTACTATTTAATGAAGCTGCCAGTTGACGACCTGTGAGGCGCCTGTTTCTCAAACTAGACACTCAAATGTATTTGTCCTCTTGCTCAGTTGTGCACCGGGGCCTCCCACTCCTGTTTCTATTCTGGTTAGAGCCAGTTTGCGCTGTTCTGTAAAGGGATTAGTACACAGCGTTGTACGAGATCTTCAGTTTCTTGGCAATTTCTCACATGGAATAGCCTTCATTTCTCAGAACAAGAATAGAGTGACGAGTTTCAGAAGAAAGTTATTTGTTTCTGGCCATTTTGAGCCTGTAATCGAACCCACAATTGCTGATGCTCCAGATACTCAACTAGTCTCAAGAAGGCCAGTTTTATTGCTTCTTTAATCAGCACAACAGTTTTCAGCTGTGCTACCATAATTGCAAAAGGGTTTTCTAATGATCAATTAGCCTTTTTTAAAATTATAAACCTGGATTAGCAAACACAATGTGCCATTGGAACACAGGACTAATGGTTGCTGATAATGGGCCTCTGTACGCCTATGTAGATATTCCATTAAAAATCTGCCGTTTCCAGCTACAATAGCCATTTACAACATTAAGAATGTCTACACTGTATTTCTGATCAATTTGATGTTATTTTAATGGACAAAAAAATTGCTTTTCTTTCGAAAACAAGGACATTTCTAACTGACCCCAAACCTTTGAACGGTTGTGTGTGTGTGTGTGTGTGTGTATATATATATATATATATAATATAGTGAATTGGCCATACGTTCAAAAGTATGAAAATGTATGCACTCACTAACTGTAAGTCGCTCTGAATAAGAGCGTCTGCTAAATGACTAAAATGTAAATGTAAAATATATTATTTATTATTATATACTTTCTCTGGCCCAGCCAATATTGGAAACGTGGAGGCGCTAGTTGCTGCATCTGCTGCGGCTCAGAGAGAGCTGTAGCAGGCTAAAAGGTGCGCAGACACGCACAGTTTTCTTTCTCTTAACACAGCACGACAAGCCTGAAACCTGCCCGGCCCAAATCAATTCACAGAATTTGAGCCCCAGCCAAGTATAAGACCGGGCTGGGCCGTCGGGCCGCGTCAGAGTTAGGTTGAGAATGAGAACTCTACTATACATACACACATTACTCTGTATTGGGATACAGAGATTCTCTATTGAATAGGTCTGTTCTTACACATACAGTATCTCCTTCTCTCCTCCCTGTGTAGACTCCAAGGCTGCAGAGGAGGCTACTGAAGCTACAGAGGCCAGTGCAGGTCCTGCAGGCCCGGAGCATGACTTAAGTCAGAGGGGAGTCTACACTGAACATGTCTTCACTGACCCTCTGGGTGTACAGAGCACTAGTCCTGGGGAGACGCCAGCCAACTACACACAGAGGTATGGGATACATGGATGCACACAACACACACACTACACACTAACACACTAACATCCTGTTTCTGTTCTCAGGGAGTCTGATCTGGTAAAGGATGGTGTTAGCTCCAACCCTAACCCAGAGGAACAGGACCTGATGAGAGAAGAAGCCCAGAAGATGAGCAGTGTTTTACCCACCATGTGGCTTGGGGCACAGAACGGATGGTGAGACGCTGATTGATTAATCAATCAATCAGATCAGTTTATCAATCTCATATTGATCTAATCAGTCAAATGTGTGTGTGTGTTCACTCTGTGGTCTGTGTGTGTGTGTTCCAGTGTGTACGTGCACTCATCAGTGGCCCAGTGGAGGAAGTGTCTCCACTCTATAAAGCTGAAGGACTCTATCCTGGGCATCGTCCATGTGAAGGGGAGAGTGTTGGTGGCTCTGGCTGATGGAACACTGGCTATCTTCCACAGAGGAGTGGGTAAGGCTGATGTGTTTCCATATGTTTTCTTACATGTGTTTGTGTGCATTATGTGACTTTAATTTATCTTACATATTTGTGTGTATTTGTGTGCCTAGCGCCATACCATAATCTTATGTGAGTGTGTCAATGAAAGGATTCCTACATTGGTGCTTACACACCTCTCTTACTCTCCCTCTCTACAGATGGTCAGTGGGACCTGACTAACTACCACCTGTTAGACCTGGGCAGACCCCACCACTCTATCCGCTGTATGACCGTGGTTCACGACAAGGTCTGGTGTGGCTACAGGAACAAGATCTACGTGGTCCAGCCCAAAGCCATGAAGATAGAGGTACATCTGACCCATTCATGGACATAGACATGCACACACACACAGAAGAACCCCCACACACACAAGAACCCACACACACAGACTCAGTCCACAGATTATAGTTGTAACCTCCTCTCCTTTTCCATCCTCTCTCTTCTCTTTCTCCATCTCGCCCCCTCTCTCCCACTGTAGAAGTCGTTTGATGCCCACCCCCGTAAGGAGAGCCAGGTGAGACAGCTGGCGTGGGATGGAGATGGTATCTGGGTGTCCATCCGACTGGACTCTACTCTGAGACTGTTCCATTCCCACACACACCAACACCTGCAGGACGTTGACATAGAGCCCTATGTCAGCAAGATGCTGGGTGAGGAACCAAGGGCATTTACACCAGTTGTAGTTGATGTGTGTTCTACGTTCTATGCTTCTAACGCAACTTGATTGTGGTGTTTGTGTCCTCGTTGTTAGCTAGTTTTGAATGATATGGGACAGGGGTTCATAGCATTAGCAAGCCAAAGTGACATACAGGAAATACAGACCCATACTTCATTATTTATCTTTTCTTAATGTGTCATGTTGGTCTCCGTCAGGTACGGGGAAGCTGGGCTTCTCGTTTGTCAGGATCACAGCTCTCATGGTGTCCTGTAACCGTCTCTGGGTCGGCACCGGCAATGGAGTCATCATCTCTATACCTCTCACTGACAGTAAGGGGAAGTAATGTCTCTCTCACTCTCCATCCCCCTCTCCCTGTGCCCTCCACTCTCTCCCTCTCTCTTTTTAATGATACATCTCTCTCTCCATCCTTCTCTCTCCCCTCCCTATCTCTATTTAATGAAAAATCTCTCTAGCCCTCCATCTATCCAACCTCTCTCTATTTGAATGACTAATCTCTCTCTCCATCCTTCCGTCTATCTTCCCTCTCTCTATTTAATGATTAATCTCTCTCTCTCTCTAGCCAATAAGGTGATTGCTGGGCCAGGTAAACCTGGTGGAGTGATCCGTGTCTATGGTGATGAGAACAGTGACAAGGTGACGGCTGGAACCTTCGTACCCTTCTGCTCCATGGCTCACGCTCAGCTCTGTTTCCATGGTCACCGAGACGCTGTCAAGTTCTTCACCGCTGTCCCAGGTAACTTCACTTCCTTTTCCCTCTCTTCTTCTCCTCCTCGTCCTGCCTTTTAACTGATGAAGGTCCTCCCGCCCCCCCAGGTCAGGTGATCCCGTCAGGTGCGGGCGGAGCAGCAGAGGCGGGGGGTGACAGTGGGGCAGAGGAGCACCCTCAACAGCAGCTGGAAAAGTCTGTTCTGGTGATGAGTGGAGGAGAGGGATACATCGACTTCAGGATGGGTGAGTTGGCATGGACGATCATATCAGACAATCAATTGACAAGTACAGTCACTATATGGCCGGGCATGAAAACATAGATATTTGTATGAGTTGAAGTGGCTTAATGTTTCTGTGTGTGTCTTTGTATGTGTAGGTGATGAGGCTGGGGAGACTGAAGAGCCACTGGATGAGCCCACTCTGAAGCTGCAGCCGTTCCTGGCCAAAGCTGAGAGGAGTCACCTGATCGTTTGGCAGGTCATGGACAGCCAGGTCTGAACTTTTAACCCCTGACCTATGACCATGCCACGGAGATGAGGAGCCTGTTTAAAGCAGGAACAAGCTGTCCAATCAGATTCACTCTTCTGCATGTTTATTTTTGTTTATTTATTTTCTTCTAATTTTGGTTTTGTATCTTTGTTTTGTTTTACGGTTATTTTTTATGAATTTTTTTATTTTACTGATTTGAATTGTATTTTAAATCTGATACAAGCCTGTTGCTCTTCTATTATTATCATTATTATTACTAGAATGATTATTAGTGAAAACAAAATAATTAGTTTATTTAACTTTATTAGATCATGTTTTGCACCTGGTTTTCTATTGGACGTTTAGGGTCCAACCCCTCTGTCCAAATACTGTGTGGTGATTGGTGGAATCAATGCAGGGTCAGGGTGTGTCTTTGGCCTCCCTCTCCTCCTCTCTGCTTTCTTTCAGATAGACAGAGAGGAGACAATACGGTATAAGACACCTGTACACAGGAGAATAATGATGGTTCATTGGTTATGATGTGTTTTGAAATGCAAAACCAAAACCACCCCATGATGTCTCACATCGTCCAATAAGAAAGAAGGGATTACAGGACAATCCAGTAAGGGAGCCAATCCTGTGTGTCCTGAATGACACAGGTGTGCTCTTCTTGCGTGATAGATTTTATTTTGTGAGAACATGGCTCTTGATTGTATGCAAGACAGTTTAATCAATTGTCAGAGTTTTCTGGACCTGGGATCAGTGTTGTCCTCCATGACTGGGCTTATGTTTAGGCAAACCTAATAGATCACTGATCAATCATGTCCGTAGCTGCAGGGGCAGAGAATCGCCTTGTTTCAATACTTTCGAAATGCACCTTTTCTTTCTAGTGGTAATGATTAACATGTTTGGAATCATGATTGAAATAGGATGGATACATATAGATTAGTAATTTATTACCTCACGGAAGGAAGGCAGGGTTGCATTTCAAGAGTTGGAACGGGGCCTCCGTCTTTAGTTTCTGGGCCCCTTCCTTCCTTCCCTCCTTCCTTCCCTCCTTCCCTCCCCCCTCCCCTCCCTCCCACCAGCTAGAGCTTGCAGACACTTTATGAAAATCAACGACTGCCTTATGTTTGAAAGTTGAAAAAAAATATTGAAAACTACATTATGGACTTTAAGTGTGACAGAGTATTTATTCCTATGTGAAAGAATGTTACTCGGCCGGTTACCAAATAAAGTAAATGTGTAATGTGCGGCCCTGTAGCAGCATGTTCAGCCCCGTCTCCCTGTAGATACAATAACATTTTGTCAGACAGATAGTCTTTGTTAAAAGGATCATGGTGTATAGAATAGAGATATATTTTTAAGCTGTCATCTCTGCAAATGAACTAAGAGCACTCTCCGAGAGCAGAGATGTTAGTGTATAATAGCTGGCTTCTGGAATCTTTTGTACGCTGAGGGTAGATGTTACCCATAGGCACAGATCTAGGATCACTTTATCCTCTGTAAATCCCAACGTGAACCATTAAGGGGAACAACTCAACACTGACCTTAGATCAGCGTCTAGGGAAAACGTCTATCTTCTACCTTTTGTACACTAGGGTACAGGGTGGCTGTGTTCTCTGACCAGACATGCTCCACCCTGATAGGTTGAAATGATACTGAAGTGTTCAGAGACTCTCCTACTCTCCTATTTTTATTAACTTTTTGTACATTTAGTCTTTTAGACTCTCACTGTGGTTGCATCTCAAATGACACATTATTGATTCCCCATCTAGTACACTATTTTGGCCAGGCTAGTAGAAAGAAGTGCACTAGAAAGGGGGTAAGGTTTCAATTGACAAATGCGGCATGTGTCTCTGGTCTGTGTATCAACAGACTTTGCTGGTGTCTGTTACTCCGGTGTCTGTCCTGAGGAGTGAAAGTGTGTGTGTGTTTCTCCTCTCCAGGAGAAGACCCCTCATCGCAGTTTAGCCATTTCAGTATTTATTTCTATGAAAGAGCCTTTGCAGTTCAGAATGTAACTTTGTACAATATGAAATATGACCATATATATTAATATAAATATGTATATGAAACATTGAAATGGCTTGGGTTTATTGTTTTGGCAATGATTGTTATTGGAATGGTCAATACATGAGTGGTTGAATTAGAGAGAGAGAGAGAGTAACTTCTGAGCTATGCACTACATCCACAGGGGGGGGTTGAGTTTACTGGGTAGAAGTTGTCATTGGGCAGAGATCTAGGAACAGCTTATCCTCACAAAATCCTTCATTATGGCTAAGGTGAAATGTGTAAAACAGAACAGTGCCTAAGATCAGCTTCTTCCTGGAGGTTGATGAACAGGTCACGGTTCCCCCCCAAAGAAACCTGTCGTGTTGCTGTGATGCATCACCTATGTACTGCTACAGCGTCTCAGCCTTATTCTTTTAGCAATCAATTAAACTGACTTTTGTGGGGAAACTCTTGTCCTCTCGTTATTTGGCTTTTTCCAACTTATTGAAATCATTCTCAGGTGCTCTTGACTTTACCAGACATGGGTTTTTCCAATACATGAGGTGCACTTAAAATCGACCTCTTAAAAGATAAGAAAACATACAGCATACATCATTTTATGTGTAAACCAAACACAATGGATGTCCATGTTCAGCAGTATCCAGCACCCTGGAGAATGACTGACCAGAGGTTAACTCTGCAGGGAGAAAGAGGGTTGGTTTTCCTTTATGGCTGTGGGGCACTGCCTGGTGAAGGTCAAGGACTACCTCTGGAAACACCCTCTATCGTTCTCTGCTACAGTATCGATTGCCTTAGGTTAGGCAGAAACCAACATTTAGCACAACTCTGTCTCATGTTGCCCTGAAACAGTATCTCTGCTGTACGTGGGTGTCTACATTAACTGGACAGATGATAACCTTGCAAGACCAGACAGAGCGCCTGTAATCAATGAAACGCCTTGATTTCAATGCAGTGTTTAAGTATTTACTTTTTACATATAGCATCATACCATAATATCAGACCTGTAGCCTAGCCTACTGCAAAAGCAAAGTCTCTATTTGGCTCCTGAGTGGCGCAGTGGTCTAAGGCACTGCATCGCAGTGCTAACTGTGCCACTAGAGATCCTGGTTCGAATCCAGGCTCTGTCGCAGCCGGCCGCGACCGGGAGACTCATGGGTGACGCACAATTGGCCCAGCGTTGTCCAGGGTAGGGGAGGGAATGGCCGGCAGGGATGTAGCTCAGTTGATAGAGCATGGCGTTTGCAACGCCAGGGTTGTGGGTTCGATTCCCACGGGGGGCCAGTATAAAAAAAACATGTATTCACTAACTGTAAGTCGCTCTGGATAAGAGCGTCTGCTAAATGACTAAAATGTAAATGTAAACTCCTGAAAAGAGATCATCCTTCACTGAAGAAAACACATTCACTTTTCTTCCTTGCCACCAGGTGTCAGTGTTGCCCCACAGTCTGGTGGCACCTGGAAGGGGACATTACTAGAAGCCAATAGAAACACTTCTCCCTTTGTTCAAATTGGCTTTTAACTGTTCTATTCATGGGTTTAATGTTCCATTCCATACCAATAATGTACAAAATCTGCGATGGCACAATAGCCATGTGTGAAATTTGGTGCCTCTATCACAAAAGTCACAATTGTTTCACTTAGCTGCTGGACTGTAAGGATTTCATAACATTTATGTTAGTGCTATCAGGTTGTGAGGATGTATGGATGGTGACTTTGGACAGGACACATGGATGGGGTGATAGTAATGGTCACGCATGCCTGGCTTGCTGCGCTGCCCCCCTGGCCCACACATTTACACCACCGATATCAGTAGAACATACACACCTCCCTCTCCCTGCTCCCCTGTTCTCTCAGAATGTAGTGGTTATGTAATGAGCCAGCTGGTGTCTCTAGGGGAGGTTGGCTTGGCCTTGGCCCCATGACGCTTGCAACGCCAGGGTTGTGGGTTCGATTCCCACGGGGGACCAGAATGAAAATGTATGCACTCACTACTGTAAGTCGCTCTTGATAAGAGCGTCTGCTAAATGACTAAAATGTCTCGGCATGCACCATCACCCACTGCCCAGGCCTCTCTGTGTCTACGGGCCAACCAATAACACTGTGGGGTTTAGGCTTTCTATTTTATGGAAAGGGACAATATCTCAGTGGCATGAAACAATCCTTCTGCATAGGCTGTAGCGTGTGTGTGTGGTGTCTGTCCATATGTTTCATTGCAGGGCCAGATGGGTGCAATGAGGTGAGTGCTGAGTCTGTTGAATGGTGCATTTCTACCACGAGGTATAACTCATTATGTCATTATCATTATTTACCCTCTCATCAAAAAATACACTGGTCAGAGTAAGAGAAAGACTTGGTTTCTCACCCTATAATATAGGACCCATATCAATTCATCATCAGATATTTTTATTTATTTATTTTATTTATTTATTTATTTATTTATTTTATTTATTTAGCAGACGCTCTTATCCAGAGTGACTTACAGGAGCAATTATGGTTAAGTGCCTTGCTCAAGGGCACATCGACAGATTTTTCACCTAGTCGGCTCGGGGATTAGAACCAGCGACCTTTCGGTTACTGGCACAACGCTCTTACCCACTAAGCTATGTCCCTCTGCTGAGTGCAGTGTGTGTCTGGGTGTCACAGTCATCATCAGGTCTTTCAGATCATTGGTGTCACAGGACCCAAACACACAGCTGCAGTCTCTCTCTTTCTTATTCTGTCCTTCTCTCTCTGTGTCTATCTTCCTCCTCTGTGATGTCTGAGTGTTCCTTCCCCAGCTCTGTCACCAAAGGGGATTTGCTACTGTGAGCGTGCATGTGTGTGTGTGTGTGTATGTGTGTGTGTGTGTGTATGTGTGTGTGTGCACGCTGACACTGCACATCAAAGGGTCTGCTAGAGACATTGTCTGGGAGAATGAGCTTCAGAGTGCAGGCTGCTCGCCCTCGGCCCAGACACACACACACACACACACAGACTTAGACATAATCTGGAATAGAACGAAACAGACTTTTCAG